GAAGGTATTTCACAGATGTATTGAGCATCTACATCAGCTGACTTTAAATAAAGGAGATTGCCTTTGATAATGTGGGTGGGCTTTATCCAATCATGTGAAGGTCTTCGAGCCAAATCTGTGGTTTCCTGGAGAGGAAGAAACATGGAAATGTTCCTCAGTTTCCAGCCTGCCAGACTTCAGAATTTCAGACTGGACTATAATATCAACTCGTCTGAATTTCTAGCCTGCCAGCCTACCCTACAAATTTCAGACTTGACACAGTCTCTGCCAATCATGTAAGCCAATGCCTTAAAATCTCTCTGTCTCTTTCTGTTTTTCCTGGAGAACCCTGATGAACATATAACCACTTTTTGATGTAAACAGAAGCATACATCTCTATCCTTTCTCTCCCAGATCCCCTAAAATGGGGAACACCCATCATATGCTTGTCCTATCCTTTGACCAACTCTCTAATAGACATAAAACAATTTTTTTGCTTCTTCTTATTAGCAGCCCAGAGCATATTTAACCATCTAAAGGGAATTAGAAATTTTAAAAGTAGAGGAACATAAAATCTCCCAAATTCTGAAAAGTATTTACATTTTTTTTGTCTAAAGAAACAAAAGGTCATAAAACTACTCCACAGGGGGTGGAAATTCCCTGCACTCACGTTTGCAATGTTCTTTTCAAACAAATTGTCACAGAGACTACACTGCTGTTGCCACCAGTGTGTTTTCAACCAAATCCAATGAAGCCACTGTAAATAAGGCTACGATAGAACATTCTTATAATTAAATTTTTTGCACACATCCTGAAAATATATCCTTACATTAAATTAAAGAAGTGAAATTGCTGAGTCAAGCAATCTGTACTTTTAAAGCTTGAGAGCTATAATTGTCCCCTTGGGATTAATTCCAATTCATGTGTTTATTAGGTAAAGTTTTTGAGCACCTCCTATATGCCAGAGTGTGCCAGGCCTGGAAATAAGCTATATCCTTGGCTTCAAAGAGTTCATGGCCTTTTTCAGTTGCCTTTCTGCCTAGTATAATGAGCCAACAGAAGGCACTCAATAAATGTTTGTTAAATAAATAAATGGATAAATGAATAAATGAATGAATACATATTAGTTGGCTTTTCCTGTGTAGCAAACTACCTCTTCACAGGCTTAAAATGACAAACTGTTATTATTTGTCACGATTCTGTAGGCCGGTTGGGTGGTTCCTCTTGTCTGGGGTATGTGACCTATCTCTGTGGCAGCTGGTGGCTCAGCTGAGGCTGTGCAATCTAGCATGGCCTCACTCACCTGTCTGGCCTTGAGCAGGCTAATTGGTCCGGGAGGGCTCAGCTCTGCTCCATGTGGCCTCTCATCCTCAGGCTTCCAAACACCAGCAAACAAGGGCAAGTGCCAAGGTACAAATACTGTTCAAAGCTCTGCTTCGGGGGCTGGGCACAGTGATTCAACCTATAATCCCAGCACTTTGGAGGCTGATGTGGGCAGATCCCTTGAGCCCAGGAGTTGGAGACCAGCCTGGGCAACATAGTGAAACTCCATCTCTACAAAAAAATAGAAAAATGAGCTGGTCATATGACCCACACCTATAGTCCCAGCTACTTGGAAGGCTGAGGTGGGAGGATCACTTGAGCCTGGGATGTTGAAGCTGTCGTGAGCCGAGACTGTGCCTTTGCACTCCAGCCTGGGCAACACAGTGAGATCCTTTCTCAAAAAAAATACAAAAAAACTGCCTCGACCACATTTGCTGCTTTCCCATGGATGGAATCAAGTCTTACAGTAAGCCCGGAGTGAGCGTAGAGGGTGTGGACTTGCGGTATGGTTCTCGGGAGGCAGATTCAGCGGCATTTTGGCAGTCTGTGCAGAAAAAGCGTGCCTGCCCTTGCTTCTTAGCTCGTGGCCTGTGTCCATTTACCTAGATGCTTCAGTTGGAAACTTGGTTCTTTGTTTTGGAAATTACACTTTGAACCCTGAACTTTTCCACTACATGCGTTTAACTCTGCCTTCAAAGAAATAACCCAGTGTGTTTGATTCCAGAAACTGTGGCTAAGAAAACCATTTCTGGGGCCTCAAACGCATGTTCACCACCCTGTGCTCTGACCTTTTTCTTCACAAGTGTGGGGAATGATAACTCAGTGTTGCTGAAGCCACCGGTGACTTATCTGATCTCTCCTCATGAGCACAGTTAAAGTTCAGCCTTTACCCTGGTCCCTCATCACATAGCCTATTGGACTCATTTTTCTACCTGCTTGGCCCTTGCCAGGTGATTGAACATAAAATTCCTTAGCGTCAATTAAACATTTGCCTCAGGATAGCAACGTGAGAGACCTTTTGGGGAGAAAAGGGGTGCCTCTCATTAAAATAAAACTGTGCCGATTTTCAAAGAACAGTTGCTAAAAGATCCCTTTGCTACCACTTCCAGCCTGGAAATCTCTGCCTCCTGTTAAACACACGTGGCATGTTCGAAATGGGAGAAAATAGCTGGTAGAAATCTCTTGCGTTCTTTACTCGAGAGGGCACAGAGGTTAATTTGGGGAATAGTTCTCTAATGGAAGCCAGACTGGGGAAAGTTAGGAAACAAATTTAAAAATTATGTCTCCAAAGTGAGTGAGAAAGTTGCTTTATTTATTTATTTTGCATTCAAGATAAATAACCTTTTATTAAAATTTTGGTGTTTGCTTGCTTGAGAGGGACACATTTTTATGGCATGGGCCCCCTCGCGCATGGGACTGTCTGGGTCAGTTGGATGAATAGAATGATCTTAATAGCTACAATTCAGTCTCCCTTTGGGGGCACCAGGTTCACAAGACTATCCTATAAGCTGTTTGTTCTGGCTTATTTGATTCGGAGAAAGCCTTTTGACGTTATCATATGGAAAAGCTTCCCTGCAAACGCAGATTCAACCAAGTTTATCTTCTAATTCTTCGCTTTCCGGTTGTACCCCACTCCACAAACACCACGCACACACATACACACACACTGAGACCCCACACAGATTTGTGTTGTTGCCCTAGGAACAGTGTAGAACAGTGCTTCTCAAATTATCTGGCGGTAAAGGGTCAGGTTTTGAGATTTCTGTTTTTGTTGTTTGAGACAGGCTTGCTGTGTCACTCAGCCTGGAGTGCAGCGGCACAATCTTGGCTCACTACGACCTTCACCTCCTGGGTTCAAGTGATTCTCCTGCCTCAGCCTCTGGAGTAGCTGGAGTTTCAGGTGCCTGCCACCATGCCCAGCTAATTTTTGTATTTTTAGTAGAGGTGGGGTTTTGCCATGTTGGCCAGGCTGGTCTTGAACTCCTGACTTCAAGTGATCCACCCTCCTCTGCCTCTCGGAGTGCTGGGATTACAGGCATGAGCTACTGTGCCCAGTTTTTGAGATTTCTAATCCATTGCAGACCAATGCAATAAAATAATTGACATAATTTAATAGAATAATATAAAACCAAGGCATACAAAATACAAGCTCAGTGTTTTTTATTATTAGATTCAGCAGACATAAAAGCACTCAAAGTCCTTTACAAGTTTCAAAACACTCCTAATGTCTGTACTTTAATTTGTTGCAAATTGGTAATAGCCAGTGGACAAGCAGTACCAGTTGGTGGCCCTGCTTACACAGCACCGATCTAGAATCCCATTTCAGTGGCCGACCGAGTGCTTAGCAAACGTCCATCCACATACTCATCTGCGTATCCTTCACACATTTATTCCACACCGGTAGCTCTGTGAGACACAGCTAAAACTGCAAACCCATCCCTGGTTGCTGTGATCGGGGAGTCTGCGGGGAGCATCTCACTCAAGTGTCAGGGGTCAGGCAAGGCCAGCTAGAGGAGGTGACATTTAAGCAGTCTAGAGCAAGGAAGAAAAATGGGTTATGTGAAAAGAGGGGTTTGGGAAGGTGAGCGGGCAAAATGAAGAAGTGCTTTCCAGGTAGAAGCAACTGCATTTGCAGATGTCCCAGACTGTTAGAGGTATAGCAGGTAATTTTCTTTGCCTGGATGCAAAGTTGGAGGAAGGGAGAGATGGGGCTGGGGCTGGAGAACTGGGGCCCTGGTGGGGGCTTTGACGTTGCGTGAAGGAGGAAGGGCTTTGTACCTCCTCCCGAGGAGCACAGGGAGCAGCTGATGACCTTGGCAGAGAAGCCCCCATCAGTAGATGTGCATTTAGGAGGCTCCCTGTGACTGCTGTGCGAAGAGGCTGGAGGCCAGCTATGAGGAGCACAGCCTAGACAGATGCAGAGCCCACAGGGCCCTCAGAGTATTTGCAAAAGAGAAAGAAAAGAGCCCGGGAGCGGTGGCTCATGCCTGTAATCCCAGCACTTTAGGAGGTTGAGGCAGGCGGATCACTTGAGGCCAGGAGTTTGAGACCAGCCTGGCCAACATGGCAAAATCCTGTCTTTACAAAAAATAGAAAAATTAGCCTGTTGTGGTGGCACAGGCCTGTAGACAGCTACTCCAGAGGCTGAGACATAAGAATCACTTGAATCTGGGAGGCGGAAGGTGAAGTGAGCCGAGATTGTGTGACTTCCCTCCAGCCTGGGTGACAGAGTAAGACTGTCTCAAAAAAAAAAAAAAAAAAAAAACGAGAGAGAGAGAGAGAGAGAAAGAGAAGAGAGTTTTCAAGGAAGCCCTCGAACATAGAGCAATGCAGCGTGTGGGTGTGGGTTGCCCAGAGCTGGCCCAATGAAGAGTGGGGTTGAGCCAACCTTCAGGCCACAGCTGCTTCTACTGCCAGCCTGGCACCATTCAAGAACCAATACACAGCCCAGATGGCTAGTTTTCCTAGGGTTTCCTTTTAAAAAGTGTGAGTTCTCCTTCATCCAAGTTACAGGAAAGCAATAGAGACTTGACAGAAAGGAAAGGATTCACTCCATACCACGTTGGAAAAACAAGCTCAGAACCATAGGTCTGCAATTCCCAAAGCTCTCATTCTTGCCTTTTGGTTTTTTGTTTGTTTGTTTTTAGGTTTTTAGTTTAGTGTCATTTTAATTAATTTATTAAGTTTTTGTTTTTTAGTTGAGGAGAGCACGAACACAGTCCCACACTACCACAAATTATGTAGTCACATTTCCCACATTTGGGAAAACTGCAGGAGTCAGCACATCTGGAGTGCAATGGATAAGACTTGCCCTGGGAAAACTCCCTTCATGATCACAGTATCTCCCCTTTGAGGCAGTTAATTTTTTTAGAGATAGGGTCTCAGTATTTTTTTTTTTTTTTTTTTTTTTTTGAGACAGAGTTTTGCTCTTCTTACCCAGGCTGGAGTGCAATGGCGCGATCTCAGCTCACCACAACCTCCGCCTCCTGGGTTCGGGCAATTCTCCTGCCTCAGCCTCCAAAGTAGCTGGGATTACAGGCACGCGCCACCATGCCCAGCTAATTGTTTGTATTTTTAGTAGAGACGGGGTTTTACCATGTTGACCAGGATGGTCTCGATCTCTCGACCTCGTGATCCACCCGCCTCGGCCTCCCAAAGTGCTGGGATTACAGGCTTGAGCCACCGCGCCTGGCCAGGGTCTCAGTATATTGCTCAGACTTGAGGGTAGTGGTACGATCATAGCTCACTACCACCTTGACTTCCTGGGCTCAAGGATTTCAAAGATCCTCCTGCCTCAGCCTCCAGAGTAGCTGGGAGGTGGCTTGAACCACCATGCCTGAAATTAAAAACAAAGTAAAACAAAAAACAAATAAAAAAACAGCAGCAATTACCCAAAGCTCAGCATTTGATGTTTGTAATGCATGCCTCATCCCTGAGAGGCATGAGATGAGATGTAACCTCATCTCTGTCTTTGTTGCCCTATGGGTGATGGAAGTGCAATGCGTTTGCTGCTGAAATCCCACAACATACTGCCGTCATCAGTTAAATGATCAATCTTGTACCAGTGATTCATTTGGTGTTCAGGAGGGAGTTGAACCAGATTTTGCGGATGTCTCTACTTTTAGATAATGAGGAGGCAATGCTTGGAAGTCTCCAACATAGCCAGGCAGAAGGGAGGTGTTGTGATTTTCACAGGTGGACCCCAGGTCCCCCTCTTTCCTCTGGGGAGCATCAAGCCTCTAACAGGCACCACGAAACATAGAATATCCTGAAACTTGAGAACAGAGACAGAGTACACACTTTTTTTTGTTTGTTTTTTTACACAGAGTCTCGCTCTGTCTCCCAGGCTGGAGTGCAGTGGCGTGATCTTGGCTCATTGCAACCTCCACCTCCCAGGTTCAAGCGATACTCCTGCCTCAGCCTCCCAAGTAGCTGTGACTACAGGCATGTGCCACCATGCTCAGCTAATTTTTGTAGTATTAGTAGTGACGAGGTTTCACCATATTGGCCAGGCTGATCTTGAACTCCTGGCCTCAAGTGATCCACCTGCCTCAGCCTCCCAAAGTGCTGAGATTACAGGCGTGAGCCACTGCACCCAGCCCAGAGTGTGCCCTTCTGCTGCCACTGTTTCAGAAGGAAATTCAGTTAATTGAAGGACAGTTCTCCAGGTCAGTTCTCAGGCTAGAGCTAGCACCCTGGGAGGATGGTGGATGGGGTAAGAAAGGGGCTTTTCTAGCTAAATGTAAGCAGTGGGCCTGTTCTTTAAATATCCTTGCAGCTGGATTTCAGTGTTTCACCCCTCTGGCACAGTGAGGACTTTAATTAGATTGTTTTCCTTAAAGAAAAAAAAATCATGAATTGCTTGAGGACCTACAATTCTTATTTAATCTATATATTCCCTATGTCTAGAATTCTCACCAACACACAATAGGTGCTTACTAAAAGTTCAATGATTAGATGACCAAGTGAATGGTAATTTCTTCTCTGTTGTCAATTCTTGTTCACCCGGTTTTTGTTTGTTTTCCCTACTTGTTCTCATTCTCCTGTGGGAGCAGGGGTTGTAGCTGTCATGAGGACTATTTCCCCAGAGCCTAGTGAGGGCCTGGCCCTATGTCCACTAGGTGGAAGTCAGTCGAATGAATGGATGGAAGATTGTGGAGCAGACGCTAGGACTTACTAGTCACCTGGCCTGAATGCCTACTGCTCAGGGTCTTCTCTGGCTGCCACACCCATGGGGGCAGCCCCCGTACTATGACTACCCTGGGTGTGAATACCCTGGCTCTCACCCGAGACATTCTATGCGACTGCAGAGTTTCCCAGGTGTGAAGTTCCCTTGACTCTCAGCAATGGCAGAGACCTGATGGTATTCTCCTCATTGGCTGCCTTCTCCCACCTCACTCTTCCACTGGCGTTTCCTGGATCACTTACTGAGTAAGCAAGTTGCACTTGAAACTTTATCTCCGGATCTGCTTCTGGGGTAACCCAGAGTAAGACGATAGACATCTTATCTCCCAGTGATGACAACCTCATCGGGAGAGAGAGTGCATTTTCCCTCCCAACATTTTATTTAGAAGGATTTCAAGCCAAAGAAATAATGAAAAAATATACACACTTTCAGCCAGTCTCACGAATCAATAATGTTTCTCCATATTGGCTTTATTTGTCTGTCTTCCTCTTCTTTCTTTTTATAGATAGACAGATGATACATAGATAGATAGACAGACAGGTAGATAAGATCAATTATATAGATAGAACTATGTGAGAAAGAGAGTCTTTTTTTTAAATTATGTTTATATTTTGTAGAGATGGAGTCTTGCTTGGTCGCCTAGGTCTTGAACTCCTGGGCTCAGGTGATTCTCCTACTTCAGTATCCCAAACTGCTTGGTTATAGGTGTGAACCATGATGCCCAGCCTGAGTCTTTTTTATTTATTTTTATTTTCTCAGAGGGAATTTGTTTTTATTGACACAGTTGTCCATGCAAAGCATCCTGGATTTCCTCTGGTAAAATCTGATCAATACAAGGTGGTAATAGTGTCCATTTGTCAGTTTTCATTAATAAAGAAATGACTGCCAACTTCCGCAGTCAACATGGAATAGAGCCAGCATGAAATAGAGATTTCTCAAACCTTAAAGCTCCAATGTTGCACAATTCATGATAATTCCATTATTAGAAAATATTTAGACTTTAGAATCTAGAGATTTCAAAGGAAAACTCTCATGTAAATATATATATTACATATGTCATTTTCTCCCAGAACATTTGAAAGTAAGTTGCAGACTTCGTGGAATTTCACCTGTAAATTCTTCAGAATGTGTCTACCAAAACAAGGAGCATCTTCCCACATAACCACAACCACCATCATCATACCCAAGAAAACAGACATTGATACAAGAATAGTGTCAAATATGCATTCTATACTCAAATTGCCCAAGTTGTCCCAATAATGTCCCTGAGAGCTGTGGGACAACATGTCTTCACAATCTACCACTAGTCCTGTCTGTCACTGGGCCTCATACAACACCCTTTTGGACACGGGACTATCCGTTAAATGCAGGCCAAATTGATCAGAATGAAATAGCTTCCCTAGGATGGGAAGATAGAGACGTTTAAGTCGTGCTTCTGGCAGAGTGACAAATATTGCCACCACACTGTGGGGCATGGCAGGATTCCCCGACTCCTAGTTAAAATAGCTGAAGGTGCAGAGCTGGGCCCCACCACAGACCCCCATCCCCTTCTCTAGAGTCTGTTTCTGGAGAGTCCTGGCCTAGGGAGAGGAACTCTTCTTCTAGGTAGACCAAGCTTGCAGCTCTGAATCCAATTCCTGACTTCAAATGGTTCTGCCATTACCAGCAGACTGCAACAGACTTGAAACTTTGTTTTAATTGAAGGAAGGCTGGGTGCAGTGGCTCATGCCTATAATCCCAACATTATATGAGAAAGTGAGGTCTGAGAACCCAGTGGCTCTCCTTGGAATTCAGAACTGCCTACATAATTTGCCAGGCCCGATACAAAATGAAAATGTAGGTTCCTTGTTCAAAATTTACTGTGTATTTCCAGAGGGTGTGGGCAGAGCATTGTAGCATGTGACTTCGCAGGTCACAAGTCTGTGACGCGGGCTCTATGGGTATTTGTGTGCAGCCTGGATTCATAGAAGGCCTTTCTGAACTTTGAAGTAGCGAATATTGACTAAAGGCTTGAAGGTCTCGTGGCACACGGGAAGAAATGAAGTAGGAAAGACTTAGCCCCAGGCCAAACTGATCAGCAACCATTATAACTCATTATTTCCTCAGGAGAAGAGCATCTACAGTTTTTTGGTTTGTTTGCACGTCAGACAGATAATGTGCTGACTTGAAATGAGGTCCGAGGGGGGGCACATCTCACACGTGTGTGAGCACCTGATCATCACACTCATGAGCTACCAAAGGATCTCTGCAGTTCTTACGAATGCATCTGTACTTGTCACATAGTCACTCTGTCACTTCGCAGCACAATGTCAGATCTGGGAGACATTCCCACCGGCATCACGCAGACATGCTCACGCGTGCCGTAACCGCCCTCTTCTGTTCCGGCTGGTTTGACGGGAGGCCACTCCCCTTCCTTGTTACTTGGGGCAAGCTGGACCCCGTTCCCATCCCATGATGTCCCCCTTCAGCCTCACACCGCGTGGAGCATTGCAGACGCAGAATCAGCAGAATCAGAAGATGAAATTGCACATCCCCCCTCCTTGGTCCTTTTCTACACGGACGCAATTCCCCAAAGAGGAAACTGAGGTGCTCTTGGCAGAATAACGCATCACAGTTCTGGAAGAGAAAGACGCGATTGTCCTGTCTGTATGTTTCCCTCTGAAGATCCTGGAGGACAGGCTGGCAGCCACTATTTCAGCATGGAGCCAGGACCCTGAGAGGGGAGAGCAGAGAGATGGAAAAATGATGCCAGGATCCAGGCAGAACTGGGGAGATGGGAGGAGGGGATCCAGGGAGACCAGAACCAGGTTCCCAAATGCCTATTTTTATGGACTAAATGATGGCTTGTGGAGAAAAAGAAATGTGTCTCCCGCTGGACTCTCAAGCAAGGCTTCCTTTCTGGGAGTAGTCTATAAATAAATTTCCTTCCCGACTTGATGGGCATGACTAACAGGATAAAGCACCGACCCTTAGAGTTAGCCAAGAGAAGTGTGGTGCCATGACTGGGATCTGAGAGCCCACCTGGGATGGGCTGAACAGCCAACCCTAGCATGAAGGTATGTGGCTGAAATCAACTGTGAGTTTGTGTCTTGAGTCACCGTCCTCAGTAGGGCATATCTTACATGAAGCGGAGATGTCAGCAAAAGCCTGGAAAAGTAAACATTGCCAGAGTGAGAAACTAGAACGTTGTTGTCAACAGGAAACGTTTCCCTTCTCGTATGTCTGACCCAGAAGCAGTCCTGTGTTGTATGTGATGCTCATAGTTTTCTCTTCCGGGGATGTGATAAAAATAGCCAGGAAATTGATGCTGACTGAAACCAATGAGTCTCAGAGCTTGAGTCCCTGCTCAGCTTGGCTCCGGGGGAGTGCACAGTGGTTGAGTCTCAGTACTCAAAGGGTGATAAGACCCCAGCATCAGCACCACCCAGAAACGTGTTAGAAATGTAGGATCTTGGGCTCTATCCCAGACTTGTGGCATTGGAATCTGCATTTCCACAAGATCCCCGCACGACGCAGGCGCATGTGAAGGTCTGCGCAGTGCTGCTGTAAGCACAGGCTTACAAATGGACAAGGCCAGGCCTCTGTAACCTTGGAGAAGCTGTAGAGCCTCTCTGAGCCCCAATTTCCACTTCCATAAAATAGGCACAAAAATAGAATCTATCAGATAGATTTGTTTAACTTCAGAGTTAAATAAAAGGACGTATATGCCGCTCTTAGTACAGGGTCCCCCAGAAAAAGTGCTGGAATATTGTCATTATTCACCCGATTTAATAATCTTCTGGCCACGTGCTCTTGGGCCAGTCACACTGTTTCTAGGAGCCAGCTAAAGGCAGTGTAAACAGTGACCCTCTATTAAGTTCTCGCTTCATCGTAACCCATTTTCCTCAGCTTAATGGTTAGCAGAAGTACAACAGGTCACTGCTGGAAAGGAAGTTTGAGATTTTCTGGTGAGGCCAGTGCCTTCACTTTCTACCTGAGAAAATTGAAGCCCAGGGCTTGCCTTGCCTGGGATCACACAGCTAAGGGGCTGGCATAGCCAGTGATAACCATGTTCCCGAATTCCCTGTCCAGAAACTCTCCACCATAGCAAAAACAATTAGCTCCTGTGCTTTGGACACCTCCTTGGTGCCGAGCTCTGGGTTCAGGGTTTACCAGAGGAAGCATCTCATTTAATCTGCAGGTCAGTCTTTCATCTCAAGGAAAGGACACTCCTGTATCAGTTAGCTCCCAGAGTTAACTTGTGCCCAAGGCTACTGAGCCAGTAAGAGTCCAGCTGGAGTGTTCCCAGTGGACCCTCCCCTTCCATCCTAGATGCCCAGGAAGCAGGAGAGATGCATGCTAGTAGGCAGTTTTGGGTATTGACTCTTATTTTTTGGCCTGGAGATATATATATATATATATATATATATTTTTTTTTTTTTTTTTTTTTTTTTTTTTTTCTGAGACAGCGTCTTGCTTTGTTACCCAGGTTGGAATACAGTGGCACAATCATGGCTCACTGCAGCCTCAACCTCCCAGGTTCAAGCAATCCTCCCATATTAGTCTTCCAAGTAGCTGGGACCACAGGCATGTGCCATAATACCCAGCTAATATTTTTTTAGTTTTGTTCTGTGAGGAGATGGGATCTCACTATGTTGCCCAGGCTGGTCTTGAACTCCTGGGCTTAAGCAATCCTCCCCACCTCAGCCTTCCAAAATGCTGGGATTACAGGTGTGAGCCACCAGGCCTGACCAGGGATATTCATTTTATTGTCACTCTATAAGCTGTACACGTGTATTATATACATCAAATATTGCATATCCGTAACTTAAAAACGAAATAGAAGAGGAATCCTGCAGGCACTTGAATACAACCCCAGGTGGTCTCAAGGCAGAAAGAAGGGGACATGAGCTTGACATGGGAGCAGTAAAACACCCAACTGGGCTTAGCCTAGGAACCATGTCGTATGGTGCTGGTTAGCACGTGACTCAGGACCAGATAAACACGCAGGGCTAGAGGGGCTTCACAGGAAAAAGGGGATGCAATTTGTCTAAAACTGGATTATGAAGAAAATAATTTGTCTTTTGTTTCCTAAGTCCCAGGTTAGGATAGGTAGATTGGCTTATTCACTTTTGCTAATTTCCCCAGACATCAGTGGAAACAATACATAATTGTATTAATGGTAGAGTGATTTATGATAGTGGAAATTTGGAAACCACCTAAAAGTCCAACTATTAGGGACCAATTTAATAATATATGGTGTCTGCATAGGAGAGATGGCCATAAAAAGCCATTGGAAAACCATGACGTAGGGACCGTAACAAGGACATTAGACGCAACTGTGGCCCTCTACTGCAGGTGCTCCCATGCCAGGGTCTGTGCTAAGCACAGGACACTTGTCCTGGTCGCGGATTCTCACGGTACACCACAGAGGAGGAAATGGAACTTTAGAGAGGTGAAACGGCTTGGTCAGCATCCCACAGCTGTGACATGGAAACATGTTCATGATATTTTAATTTAAAAAGCAGCTTATAAGGCAGGCTGTGCAGTATACATACACAGTGTCCAAAAACGGAACTGGTGATGTACATTACTTCACATTGAGCCCAACTGATGGAGGGCTCTACAGCCATTGCAAATCATGGTGTGTAGATTCCTAATAGCTGGCAACAGAAAGAGTTGGTGGCAGGGTACATTTTTTTTAAGAGATAAATAAGTATTTACAATTTGATTTCATTTTGTGTGTGTGTGTGTGTGTGTCTCTGAGCAGTGATTTTATTTAATTTTAATTTTTCATACGGCATCTCGCACTGTCTCCCAGGCTGAAGTGCAGTGGCGTGATCTCGACTCACTGTAATCTCCAGTTCCTGGGTTCAAGCAATTCTCCTGCCTCAGCCTCCCAAGTAGCTGGGATTACACGTGCATACCACCACTACCAGCTAATTTTTGTGTTTTTAGTAGAGATGGGGTTTTACCATGTTGGCAGGCTGTTCTTGAACCCCTGACCTAAAGTGATCTGCCCACCTCAGCCTCCCAAAGTGCTGGGATTATAGGAGTGAGACACGACACCTGGCCAAAGCAGTGATTTTAAACAGAGTGGATTCATTCCTCTGGGGACATTTGGCAATATCTAGAGATATGTTTAGTTATCACAAGTGGGGGTGGGGAGTGCTACTGGCACCTAGTGAGTAGGCAGGCCAGGAATGCTGTTAAAGATTCTACAATTCACAGAACAGCCCCCTGCAAAAAAAGATTTATCCCACCCAAAATATCAATAGTGCCTGATTTTATATATATACACACATATAAATACCCTCACACACTCACGTATACACGCATGCAGAGAGAGGAAAAGTCTAGAAGGAATATCTCAGAATGCTAACAGTGGTTATCTTTGGGCACAGGGTGTTTTTTTAATTCACATCTTTATTTTCTAAATTATTTTAAAACAAGGAGCATGATTAAGTGTGGGAAAAAAATAGAAAACTATGTAGCTACACTTGCCTTAGAAACAGCTCAGTTAGAGACAAGCAGCAGAAGCGAGGAAGGTTTGGGGGATATAGTTTTTCAGAGGTTCGACACAATGCCACATCAGGCCTCTTGGGGAACCATTTTCCCGATTCTGCAGCCCACAGAAGCCCCTGTAGAAATGCGTCTGAGCCTGCGGGTCCCTGCAGAAGAAGCCACACCCATCCTGCGGGCGATCAGACACTGAGCAGTGGAGGTGAACTTGCAGGGCGTTTGTGTGCCTATGAGGGCCTGAGGCCCAGGCTTTACCACGGTTATTAATGCCGGGCCCTCATACCCCTCACCTGCTCCTCACGCTGTTTGATGGCTCTGTTCGCTCTTTGCCCTTTTCTGGACCAATAGCACTGCAGACTTGGCGGCAGTTCAGTAACCACCTGGGTCACGGCTCCTTATGGGAAATAAAGAGAGAGACAATAGTGTCCCAGCTTAAGACAGAAAGGCTCCAGCGGCTGCTTAGCAACTCTTGTGCTGGTTCCCTCCCAGGGCTGAGGAGCAGACATAAACCATCCCATAAAAAGAGGGCAAGAGGGGCCCAGACAATGGCTGGAAACTCACAGAGGTTCCTGGCAATCTTCCTGAAAGCTCCATGAAGAACCAGACAGCGCTCACTAAACAAAGGCCCATCCCCTGGGCCACCTCCTAAACCCTGTTCCTCATCAGGAGGAAGTACAGGTCTCTGTCCTGAGCCTGTTACTTGAGCGTCCCAACATTTGAACTGGACCAAAGTTTCCCAGGG